GGGGTTTTTTTTTTTTTTTTTTAGAGAGGTTTTTGCTATAGATTGTATGCTCTTTCTGGAGAGACATAGAGACAGAAAGAGAGAAATCATCCCCCCACACATACCCAGGGAGGATGGCCATGCTGCAATCCCTTCTCCTCCATTATCCTCTCAGGATTTGGGGTGTGTACACACATACATCTGGCATGAGTTTCAAGACTCCAAATCCTGGGACTCGAACTGCAGTTGGATGTGGAAGTCCAGCAGTGTAACCAGTATGCCATCTCCTGATTTCGGGGGCAATATTTTTCAGTTGGAAAATTATATGAGTTATGCTTAGGAGGCTCAAATGTCAATACGATGGATGTATGGTTTGACTGAAACCAAGATCTGTTTGCCACCCCGTGCAACCCTGTGCACACACGCTCACTCTTCAAGGCAGTGGACTTTCAGATCTGAGGTCCATTTACTGACCTCATGACACTGTTCCTTGACACTAGCTTCTTTTTTTCTTCTTCTTCCTTTTCTTTTTTTTAACTGCTAGAGGGCATGTGTGCTCACTAAAGAGAGAGGGAGAGACCGAGAGAGGGAGAGAGAATGGGTGAAAGCACACCCTGTTGGAACATGGCCACATTGCAATCCTTCCATTTTCTCTCTCTTGCCAGGATTTGAGGCATGTACACACCCGAGCCCAGCATGTTTTACAAGCCGTAATGGCAGGGATTCAAACTGCTGCTAGTCATATGAGATCTGGCACTTTTAACCACTAAGCCAACCAAGTTAGGAGGGCCAACTTCTTGAAGAAGAAGACTTCTGAAAGCCCTGAGTTTTTGTATTCATTATAATTGCTTCCTATACCTCATTAGTTCAATTTCTTTCATCACCAGCCTATCTGTATCTATTCATAATTAACACACAGGGCTCCTACCTTATTTTCTGAAAACTCGAGACTACATAGGGGCCATAAACTCACTGTGCCTTTGGCCACTCTCATTCTTTTAAAATGCTAAGAGTCACTAAGTCCAAAAGAAGAATAGAAATCCCAGATTAAGTCACTAAGGCAAGCTAAAGCAGAATGTAACAGAATAGCTCTGTTACGGTGCTGCTACTGGAGAACAGAAGCATTAAACGTGGAGGCCGAGCCCAGGAAGTGGGACGGTGCTAACACACTGGACCCACAGGGAAAAGTACTTGGTCCAAGTCATGGGACCTTCCTGACCAGAGTAGGCGCACGGACAAGCCTGTGATCCAAGACAGCTGAGACTACAGGTAGAACGTAGCTTGAAGAGGTTGTGTGGTTCCTGTCTCTCTCTTTCTCTCAAATGAAATAGACAAATAAGTTTAGAAATCAACAAGCAAATAATAAAAAATAAATGTGTAAGCCTCTGGTTTGGACACCGACAAATGAAGGATAAGAGTGAGGTTGACATTCTTCTTCTGTTCAGATCATTCCGTTTTTATTTTACTATTTTAGGATTTCTAAGATTAAGAAATTCACACTAATACTGTTGTAAGAAAGGAATTGGTTTCCATCACCAGAACCCTTCAAGCTACCTGCATGCACATGTTCCTCTCTCAGCAGTGACCATGAGCTTTACGCTAGTTCATTGGCCCCTGAGGTCGACCAAGGGACTGGCTCTGCCATACTTCCAGCTGACTTTAAGTCTACAGGGATTGGTGAGGCAGACAGTGGGCAGCCCACCACAAGCCAGTGTAATCATCCAGGTGTTGTGAAAGCAGAGATTCCGTCATTCGCCGTGTTTTTGTTGTGTACAAGATACCAGGCACAGACACTGAATCTGTAGCTGTGACACAGCAAGAGATGATGAGAAGGGATGCATTTTAAAACATTTTTAAATATCCAGACAGCAGGGTTTGCACAGCAGATCAGGCTGACTTGAAGAGAATTCTGTGGGCCTGAATGGGAGATGAGGTTGGTGGGAGAAAGAGAGAAATGGGGAATAGGAGCTGAGACGGGAGGTCTAGCAAGTCCTTCCTTGGAGAGGTCCAGCAGCACAGATGCTTCCACATCCCAGACTGTGCGGCCCTCTCCCAGAAGTCCAGCAGCTTGAGAATCATGGAAGGGACTCCTGGCACTTGGTCTTACTGCTCCTTGCTTGGAGTCAGCTTTTGCACGAATGAAAACTCACTGGCATGCTCGTCCCTTCTGTGCAGACACCGAGCCTCTAAGTTTCACCTACTGCAGAGAGTTTTACTATTTCAATCAGTAACCTGATTTACACACATGATAGGAGATAAGAAACATGAAATCGGCTAAAACAGGACAGGAATGGCCTTGTCATGAGCGATGTCATCAAGAGATCAGGCAGGCCTCCTGACAAGTTCTCCTGCAGACCGGAAGTGCAGCCAGGCTAAGCACCCAGCAGATGGGAGCTGCATGTTTCTGCCATTCGGGGGACCCTAACCTCTTTGTGAGCTTGACGTGTAGGCCTCACCCAGGACGGAGTGAACGTGGCCCTTCAGAACCCCTGACCGTGGCTGGTTCACCATCTCAGTTCATCTGTCACACTGATCGATCACTGATGGATCATAACTATTCTCCCTGTAACTTCCTTTCAGGAAAACCCTAATGACCTGCGGTTTTGGTTGGGAGACATGTACACGCCCGGCTTTGACACATTGTTGAAAAAGGAAGAGAAGCAGCAGAAGCAATCACAACTCTGCCGCCTGGGCCTGATTTTACTCCTCGTCACCTCCATCTTGGTTACCATAGTGATGATTAGCACCTTGCTCACCTGAGGAAACTGCCCCAGACCCTCTTTCCACCTTTTTGAAAAATCTTTCTAAATAAACATTTGCAGAAAAACGTGTTCATGCGTCCTGTTGATTGTGCGACTACACGGAGCCTCCCTGTAGAATGGGAATGTGTTTCTGGTATACCGGCTTTTGCACTTTGGTCTGAGACCTGTGTGAGAATTGCCACCAAGCTTTGAACTTTCAGAAGCTGGAATTTGGGGGAATCACAACCACAGAAAATTATTCTGTACATTCCAAATTAAATATTTTGTTAAAGAACAAAACAGCATTGACAATTGCCTGCAGTTTTGTTTTAATGCTGAAAATATATTCACTGTGGGCTTTTTGTTTTTGTTGTTTGCGAAATTTTTGGTATAGGATATGTGCACTTGCCAGAGAGACAGAAAGCAAGACATCATGCCCCAGAGGGAAGGCCACACCACAATCCCTTCTCTTGGGATGTGCCTGGTGATGTTTGTGGAAGTATTTTTCGCTCCCCACTGTCCCAGCCTCAGGTGGGCACCAAGGAACTCTGAACTGATCATTGTTTTGGACAACTGCCAAGTAGACAAGATAAAAGCTTCTGGTTTGGATTCCGTCTCTGTTTTATCTTCTTTCATTTCTATTTATGTCAGGGGGAAAACAGTGGGTGGGAGTGACTTTCTTCACACTTACTCTTATTTTCTCATTAATCCATTATAATGCCCCAATTTCATGTTGTAATTTTAGTCAAATTAAACTTGGCTAGGCCATGGTTACAGAATAAATTACATTTTATATTCAATCGTGCTCATTCATTTATTCAAATTGGCTAGTGCGGCCCCTGGTGGTATTCAGTGCGCATACATGACCAGCCTTGGGCAGAGTGGAGAGGCCCTTCGCAAAACAAGGATACTCTAAGAGGACTGGGTTAGAATCCTAACTGCCATTTGCTGACTGTTGGACCCTGGGTAAGTTACTCTCTCAGAGAAAGGATTATACCACCTTCCCAGAGGACTGGCCTAAGGAGTACAGAAGAAACACAAGTAAGGACCCTGCCTGCTTCTAATAAGCAGTTCTTAATGCCACAGTCATCGCTAATTCGTGCTAGCTAACTGGCAGTCTGAGTTCACCTGGGCTGTCTGCAGCTGTCTAGGGACATGACTCTGGGTAAAGACGGTGAACTGAGTCACCACCCTTCCTAAGGGCCTGATCCCAGCTCCTTTCTCTTTAACTATCCCTCCCTGAGGTTATTGTGTGAGTGGAACAAAAGAGCGATTTCCTCCTCTTCCCATTAGTCTAAAATTAGCTTTTGACCTTTGATATTGCTATATCATTTTGTTATATTTCTCTTAAAGATACTTGACACAAAATACCTGAAAAGGCAACTTTACTGGACCATAAAACCATTGTGCACAAACGTCTTAACTGTATTTGTAGTCTTTGACTTCTCCTCCCCTCTGGTAGGTTCTAGTCCAATTTAGAACTGCATTATAGATGAACAGAAGGTCCTAGGACTTCCTAAGGGTAGCCCCCAGGGTAGGTGCTCTCTCACTGGGGCCTCTCCTGCTCTGATGGTTTTCCAAGCTTCTGCCCAATGTTTGCCTCTAGGGGAGTCAACCACGTCCAGGTCCCTGCCACACAGAAAGCATCCAGGCCGCATCAGGTTGGGTGGGCTGCTGAGAACCATGTTCAGGATAGGCTTGTGGCAGGTACTGCAGGGGTTTCCATGGTGACCAAGGAAGCTGATCGGCTGCTGACCTGAGCTCCAGCTCCTCTGCCCTCATCTCCTTCCCCTTCTCCCTGCCCAGGTGAGCACCTAAGTATTCCTCTGCTCTCTCCAGCCCTCCTCCTCTCATTTCTGATACTATCAGCCATGGGTATGTTTGAGTTTATTACTTGGCCACTTACTACGCCCAAACCAATCTTCATTTTTAGCCTTCAATGGAACTACACAAAATATTTTATTATCCCTCATCAAATTACTATGCATCTCCATGTGACAGAAGTCATAGACTATTTCCTTGTTTGCACTTGAAACGTACCTTGAAAGCGGTTTCGATTTCTCCTGCACTATGGTTTTTCACGTGAAATGGCTTAAACAGAAAAAGCAGAAGGTCATGGAAAATAGAGAGGTGATAGCCCTAAACAGGCTTATGTTCAATTCTGAGCTTTCTTGGAAGGCTCCAAGCCAGATTCAATGAACTAATGTTTTCAAAGCATTCAATACAAACTTTGTCACATAATATTACAGTTGGTCAGTGAATAATACCTATTACTATCTTCCACACTAACTATTTTCGTTACTTTTCTTTTTTAGTTGGAGTAAGAAAGTCTGGTCTCCCTAAATTCCTAAGTAATAGTAATTTAGTTTCAAATGATAATATTCACCACATTTTTTGGAACATGCAACAAAAGTTTGCTTTTTTTGTTTGTTTTGTTTTATATTAGTTTAGTGTGTGGAAGGCCTAAGAGCAAACAGTATGTTACGTTTTCCAGCAAAAACAAAAATCCAGTCAGGCATATTTCTTTAAAGTGCTGCTCTCAGGTTTAACAGGAGGATTAAAATTGCCTTTTACATAATCCACTGACTATATTCACTTTGCTGTCAGCTATTGAATAGTGTATGAAAAAGAAAAATGATCCGTGGCAGCTCCATTTATCCAGAGTACACTACTGCCACCTGGTGGTCAAACTTCCTACTCCCACTCTTGCTCCCGGAAAAAGCATTTGTCTAAAGGGACATTTTGCGTAAATATGCCTCAGAGATAATTAGTGTAATAGGGTGGCCATGAGCCTCTCCCTCCCCTCTCGCAACCACGAATTTTGACCTCTCACTTCTCCAGAAAGAGATGTGAGTGGCCTTGAGCCCTACTGGCTCTCAAAGGCAGAGCTGAAGCCCTCAGTACCAACTCTGTCTCCACTGCACATAATATGCTGAAGCTGGAAAGATCCTTAGAGATCACGTGTTCCTAACCTCCTCAAATTGGTTAAGGCTTTAGGAGTATTAAATAGCTGAATGCTTGTTTCAGATATGGAAGGTCTTCAGGATGTCTACATGTATAGCTCTGTTTTGAGAATTTCTTTACTATTTTATTAATTTATTGTTATTAGTTTACATTTTTGTCATAGGATATGTGCACTCACCAGAGAGGGAGAGAAAGAGACAGGAAGGAGAAGGGAGAAATTACACCAAGAGGAGGAAAGCCACACAGCAATCCTTTCTCCTCTACTCTCCTCTTGGGACCCTGGGGGCACACACACACACACACACACACACACCCACACACGTGCCACATGTATTTTCCAAGCCACCAGAGTCTGGGATTTGAACTGTGGAGTCAGCCATATGGGATCTAGCCACCTTAATCTCCACGCCACATGCTGGCCCTGAGAGTAGCTTTAAATATTATTTTTAAAAATCTTTTTTGTATACCTGCCTACCTGCCGCTTATTACCAATGTTCTAATCTCTGCTCATAGATTTAGATACATAATTTTGTCATATGAGGAGTAATGTTTTTAAACTGTACTCATCAGGGCTGTTCAATCTCTCTCTCTCTTTTTTTTTTTTTTTTGGAGAGGTTTTTGCTATAGAGGTGTGCGCTCGCTAGAAAGACAGAGAGAAGAAAGTGAGAAAACACCCCCCAGGCGGTATGGCCATGCTGCAATCTCTTCTCCTCCTTTCTCCTCTCGGGATCTTGGGCATGCACGCACACGTGCCCAGCATGAGTTTAAGCCACTGGGTCCAGGACTTGAACTGCGGTTGACTACGTGGGAGTCCAGCGACATAGCCATTACGCTAACTGCTGGTCCCATGGGTCATTCAATCTCAACCCCTGTGGATTTCTTCTTCCACACCACACACAAGTCTAACAGACTGTACTTTTTAGACGCAAGATAACTCATGTGGTTCCTTCCAAATAATCACTTAGTCCAGGCTCTCGCCCAGTTTGAGGTGAGAACAGTCAACCCAGGGAACCACTTCAGAAACGGAACCTACGTTTCTGCCCGAGTTCTGCTTCCACTTTATGGACACTGTGACCCACGGAGCTGATCCCATTTCCCCCGTTAGTGCAGATTCCTGGAAAAACTCAGGACGAAATCGCGGCCCTCTCCTGTTTAAGGAGTACGTAGGACTTCCTTCGGTGCTGGTGAGCCCCATCCTTCTTCCTGGCTCCTTTTCATCAGCTGCCCTTGGCCTGTTTCCTTCTGCCTCAAACACGTCATACCTCACGATGCTGCTCAGTTTTTCCTCAGTGACTTAACCCTATTGGAAAGATACAGATTATGCAGAGATATACAGAGTATAAAGAAAACTGTGGCTGGCAGATGGTGTGGTGGTTAAAGGCATTGGACTCCCATATGGCTGACCACGGTTCAAGGCCCAGACCCTGCGGTTTGCTTTCTCAGTTTCCCTCTCTCTCACACACACTTTCTCTCACTCTGTCACTTTGTCTCTTTCTGGTCAAATTAAAAATAAATAAATAAAGTTAAATAAAACAATTCTTAAAAAAAGAAGAGAGAGAGCTGTATGTCTATGTTTATAAAGTATGTACATGCACAAATATAGAAACCAAATACAAAGGCTATCTTTCAAAAGGAAAAAATTAAACTTTATCTTTTAAATATAATTTTTCTTGATAGAAATTTTTGCTATAGAGCCCGTGCACTTGCCAGTGAGACAGAGAGACTGAGAAATCACACCCGGGGTGGAATGGCCACACCACAATTCTTTCTCCTCCATTCTTCTCTCAGCATGCACACACACACACACACACACCTGGCATGAGTTTTAAGCTTCCACGTCTGGGACTCAAACTGTGGTTGACTTTATGGGAGCCCAGTGATGTAACCATTATGCCATCTTCTCTTCCCTAAATAAGATTTTTTTAAATACAGAACATTCTATGACTCCATGTCTTCAAGCAGAAGACATTGCAAGCTCACAGTTTACTTATTCCTGTCTCACTGTTTTTAAATACCTGACAAAGAGAAGGTCAGAATTCTTCATATGCTGAACTGTTAGCTTTTCTCAGCTGTGAAACGGGCACTGGGACAGGTGCGGCACAG